TAGTCCTAAGAAATCAGAAGCGTACGAGTCATTTCATCGCTTCAGTTTCTGCAGGATATAAACAGCGCCATTTGTAAATTGAGGAAAGCATCCTGATCACCGATCATTGGCATGATTAGATAATGTAAGGGCAGAGGAGATAATCCAGCGTCTGATAAGACCCCAGATTCTCAAAAAAGAATATATGGACAATGGCCCCATTAGAAGTTATCGGGATATATTTGCATTCCTGTAAAGCGTTGCCTATGGATGTTAAAAATGTATGCAGATTTGTCGCCATTGCACGGGGCATGTGCAGTTTTAAAAACATGTCATGTTGGTATCTATTTACTCAGCATATCATCATATTTATATTTTACCAAATAATTGTACAAAATATTGTTTGTTTTTATGTATTAAAAGTAAAAAAACTGTATTTAAAAAAAAAAAATTGTGTTTGAAATTGCTGCACGAGTACAATGTGACATAAAGAAATTCAGTACTATGTGACATAAAAAATTGCAGCACCTACCATTTTATTCACTAGGGTGATTGACAAACAAACTTTTTTTTACACAAAATTGCACTTAAATGATTTATTGCTCACACAAGCCATGGGGTATATGTGGAATTACTCCCCAAAATACATTCTGCTACTTCTCCCGAGTATGGGGGTACCACATGTGAGAGACATTTTGTCAGTCTAGCCAAGTACAGGACCCCAAAATCCAATAACCACCTTCAGGCTTTTAAAGGGCTTTATTTCCTCATTACACTTCCTGACTATCTATCACAGTTTCGGAGGCCCTGAAATGTCAGGATAACACCAAACCCCCCAAATGACCCCTTTTTGGAAAGTAGACAACCCCAAGGAATTTGATAAGAAGCATGGTGAGTATTTTGCAGATCTCGTTTGTTGCCACAAGTTTTTGAAAATTGAAGAAAAACAACAAAAACATGTTTTCTTTTCTTTTTTAATATTTCAAAACCTTGTGAGAAAAAATTAGATCTGCAAAATACTCACCATGCCTCTTTTTTAAATTCCTTGGGGTGTCTACTTTCCAAAAAGGGGTCATTTGGGGGGGTTGGTGCTATCCTGGCATTTCAGGGCCTACGAAACTGTGATAGGTAGTGAGGAAGTGAAATGAGGAAGTTACGCACCTTCAGGCTTTCAAAGTGGTCATTGGATTTCAGGATCCTGTATGTGGCTAGGCTCCCAAAAAGTCTCACACATGTGGTACCCCCATACTCGGTAGAAGTAGCAGAATGTATTTTGGGGTGTAATTCCTTATATACCCATGGCTTGTGCGAGAAATATATCATTTAACCTCCCTGGCGGTATGATTATTTCAGATTTTTTGGTGCTGAAAGCGGTACCATTATTTTGCATGGAAATTTGGCATTTTATATTGTAGGCCTGTAATTTTTAGGAATAACTCACTGAAATCTGTCCGAACAAGAGTCTAGTAAACATCCCGGGATGATAAAACTTGAAACACAAAATCATAAATTATAATTTAATAAATAATCATAAAATATAATAATAATAAATGTAATTCAATAATATAATCAAACCAAAAACACTGAAGTGTGAAATATAGCGCCAAGTTCGCACATCACTGAGCAAAGTCGCAGAATCGTTTTCAGTGTCTGATGACGAATTTCCCCCACCAATCATTATCACTCAATTCTGCAAGTGGTTCTGATTTGCTATCGCTGTTCTCTAGCTGATCTAAACCGCTCTTGACCTAAAGGGACGCTTTTTTTGGACGCCATGGACGTTTCTCAGTTACCAGGCAGAAAGAACAGTAAAAATGCAGGCAGGGCGCCGGACAAAGCACTCTCGGACAAAATGTATGTGAAATGGTTTGATACAGGAATGTTTTACTATGTGATTTTAGTGATTTTTGTGAATGTCACTTTTTGTCATTTTCAAATTTCCCGCCGTTCCGTCCCCCGTACGTCCCGACGCTCGCAGGGGACGGAACCCAGATGACAGATGCCAGCATCCGCCGGATTACATTGCCGGAGACACTGCAGGGGGGACATCGCGGGAGCGCAGGACAAGGTAAGTGATCGAGGGATTGTGGAGCAGCACCGCATAGTATTCCCGAGTGTAGCTCGGGGGTTACGCTTGTGGTGCTGAAACTTTACCCCGAGCTACACTCAGGAATACCGCCAGGGGGGTTAAATGACAACTTTGGGTTAAAAAAAAGTAATTTTCCAAAAGCTTGTGGAAAAAAAAAAATCTTCCATGGACTCAATATGCCTCTCAGCAGATAGCTTAGGGTGTCTACTTTCCAAAAGGGGTCATTTGGGTGTGTTTGTACTGTCCTGGTATTTTAGCACCTCAGGAAATGTGATGGGCAGTCAGAAAGTAAAAGCTGTAAATTCCATTATCTCTCCCATAGTTTGTAGACGCTATAACTTTCACACAAAGCTATCAATATACAATTATTGGGATTATTTTTAACCAAAAACATGGAGCAGAATATTTTAGTATTTTTTTATATTTTTATGACAGAAATGAGAAAATGTCATTTTTTTAAAAACGTTTTTTTTTGCAAAACTTTTTTCGTTTATAGCACCAAAAATAAAAATTGCACAGGTGATCAAATACCACTTAATTTCTATTTGTGTGAAAAAAAGGATGTAAATTTCATTTATTTACTGTATTGCATGACCGCGCAATTGTCAGTTAAACTAGCACAGTGCTGTATAGCAAAGAAATGGTGTAAATTCCATTATCTCTCCCATAGTTTGTAGACGCTATAACTATCACACAAAGCAATCAATATACACTTATTGGGATTTTTTTCACTAAAAACATGGAGCAGAATACATTTTGGCCTAAATGTATGACTAACTTTGAGTTTACTATATATTTTCTATAGACGAAAGTAAACAATTTTGTTTTTCTACAAAATTTTCGGTCTTTTTTTATTGTAGTGCAAAAAATAAAAAGCGCACAGGTGATCAAATACCACCAAAAGAAAGCTCTATTTGTGTGAAAAAAAGGATGTAAATTTTGTTTGGGTGCAGCATTGCATGACCGCCGCAATTATCAGTTGAATTAGTGCAGCACTAAGTAGCAAAAAGAGGCGTGGTCATTAAGGGGGCAAATCCTCTGGAGGGGAGGGGTTAAACATGTCCAGCAAAAAGATAATAAAAATCAAATTTTGTCATAAATTTCGTCCAGAATGTATTCTGCTCCGTGTCTTTGCTAAAATAAAATCCCAATCCGTGTAAATGAATCGGTTTATGTGAAAGTTATAACATCTACAAATGACGGGATAGATACTGGAATTGTATTTTTGTTACTAGTGTGATAGATATTTTGGGCCTACAATAATTTTTACCATCATTGTGAACTTTTGATAGAAGTCTCAGTCTCAGTTCCTGCAACTTCCCAGAACTGCACTTTCTAAGTGGACATTGACTGTGTATAAGATTTCCCATGTGTTTTATCACCCCAACACCCCCCATGAAGATTTCCTGTAGAGGTTTATGGCAGTATGGTCACCTAGCTGATGTAAGGAATAAGCCCCGGACCCGTCATTCCTAACACCTCCTAGAGAGTGTTGTCATCCATCTTCCTGCGGGAACTGAATTCAGAGGAGGTACGATCAGCGATTGTCATCCATCTTCCTGCAGGAACTGAATTCAGAGGAGGTATGATCAGCGACAGTCATCCATCTTCCTGCGGGAACTGAATTCAGAGGAGGTACGATCAGCGACAGTCATCCATCTTCCTGCAGGAACTGAATTCAGAGGAGGTACGATCAGCGACAGTCATCCATCTTCCTGCAGGAACTGAATTCAGAGGAGGTACGATCAGCGACTGTCATCCATCTTCCTGCAGGAACTGAATTCAGAGGAGGTACGCTCAGCGACTGTCATCCATCTTCCTGCAGGAACTGAATTCAGAAGAGTAATGATCAGCGATTGTCATCCATCTTCCTGCGGGAACTGAATTCAGAGGAGTAATGATCAGCGATTGTCATCCATCTTCCTGCGGGAACTGAATTCAGAGGAGGTATGATCAGCGATTGTCATCCATCTTCCTGCGGGAACTGAATTCAGAGGAGGTATGATCAGCGATTGTCATCCATCTTCCTGCGGGAACTGAATTCAGAGGAGGTAGATCAGCGATTGTCATCCATCTTCCTGCGGGAACTGAATTCAGAGGAGATATGATCAGCGATTGTCATCCATCTTCCTGCGGGAACTGAATTCAGAGGAGGTATGATCGGCGATTGTCATCCATCTTCCTGCAGGAACTGAATTCAGAGGAGGTATGATCGGCGATTGTCATCCATCTTCCTGCGGGAACTGAATTCAGAGGAGGTACGATCAGCGATTGTCATCCATCTTCCTGCAGGAACTGAATTCAGAGGAGGTATGATCAGCGATTGTCATCCATCTTCCTGCGGGAACTGAATTCAGAGGAGGTACGATCAGCGATTGTCATCCAACTTCCTGCGGGAACTGAATTCAGAGGAGGTATGATCAGCGAATGTCGTAGAAAGGATGGCGCTCTACTTCCTGCACTCTGTGCTTTCCATCCCCCATCAACCAATCATAATGTGTCCACAATCACCATGGAAATGATCAGATCAATGAAACGTTTGTCATAGACAGACCATCATGTGCCGATCATATACACAGACATTTGTATCACAGGAAAATACAAGAAGAAACATGTATGGAGAAAGACATGGGAAAGTCCCAATATGTGCATTCACCAATCACTCCTTCATTCCCGGTATACACACAATTCCATTGCTTCCATGTGTACACCATCAGTCACTCTTCTAGAATTGGGACATTTTATTACCACCCACTTCTTCGGTGATCCCCACCATGCAAGTATTGTCCTCACCTACAACTGTGGGCCTAATGACTGCTTGGAACATTTGTCCACAAAGTATTAATAATAGACCTCCAAGTGTTTGTGAAATCTCCCACCACAAATGTACTCAGCCAATCACAGGGCAGGACTCCATTTTTATTCTTCTCCTGCCATCAATGACCACCTGGTCCCACACTTCATCCATGTCTTTGGGGACCTCTGATCTCTTTATGAACTGTTTCTTCCATGATGAAGATCAGCCATGGAGTATATCTGAGGTGTATATCAGGGTGTGCTTCTTCCCCACATGAGATCTGGGATGTCCAGCAACATTAATCTAGGAACTCAAGGCACTAATACACCTCCAGGGTTGTGTGGGACCCCTGATGTACAGGAGGACAGGACTTCAGTGCGGAACATTTCCCTCACTCAGGAGTGGAAAGTAGCTTCTCCCTCATGTGCAAACTGTGATGTTTGTAAAGATGGGACTTCTGTGAAAAACATTTCCCACACTCAGGACAGGAATACGGCTTCTCCCCTGTATGAGATCGCTGATGTGTATAAAGACTGTACTTCACTGAAAAAAATTTCCCGCACTCAGAACAGGAATACGGCTTCTCCCCTGTGTGAGATCTCTGATGTCTGTAAAGATGAAACTTTTGTGAAAAACATTTCCCGCACTCAGAACAGGAATACGGTTTCTCCCTGTGTGAGATCTCTGATGTTTGTCAAGATCAGACTTCTCTGAAAAACATTTCCCACACTCAGGACAGGAGTACGGCTTCTCCCCTGTGTGCAATCTCTGATGAGTGTAAAGACTGGATCTATCCGAAAAACATTTCCCGCACTCAACGCAGGAATATGGTTTCTCCCCCGTGTGAGATCTCTGATGTGTGTAAAGACTAGACATGTCTGCAAAACATAAAACATAAATGATGATATGTATCTAAATATACATATACGTGCCGCGCTCCACATATTAAACTGAACTACTCATAATGAGTGATAAAAAATTAACCGTGAAAACAGAGTGCTTCAAACAAGTGCAACATAAATGTGTGAATCAAGAAAAATTACTATATAAAAAATGAAGTATATAAGGAATAATTCTGCAAATTATATAACAGTCCTCTTTATGCTTCTATAAATATTTCCGTGACAGGTGAGGTATATAGTGCCACACTTCCCGTGCTCTGTGAATAGGTGTGCGCTCACCTCCTTGTTAACCAGACAAGCTGGCTAAACACACTTTTTGTCCTCACTGGACAAGGTGGGAATCTTTACTTTAGCTGCATATCTCCATCCAATGCTGGGCTGCCTTATTGCCACCAGAGGTCTCCCTCCTTCCACACTTATACCTCAATGGTTTTATAGGGGTAGTGAAGATGATTTTCCTCCTCTCAATTGTACCATGTAGAAACAAAAGAACCACAAATGGTGCCTTATCCTTTTTGAGATCAGAGCCCGTTTAATATAAGGTAAACGCCACTCACATTTGATCCATCAGTGCGGTTATCAGCTGGCATGTGTGTCAATCCTGGATAGCTAGCGCCGCTCGTCCACCGCGGCGTCGTGACGTCAGAGCCCCTCCCCTACGCGTTACGCCACAGGGTCACGTGGCTTCATCAGGGGGATTATAATAGGACGTCACTGCGCTCTGCTCTCTATATATAGAGGCAGTCGGCGCCATTTTCTTGTGGTCCGCATGGGCGCGGCCATTTTCCTATGGTCTGTATGCACCGATCTATTTCTGATGTGTATAACACACATCAGAAGTTCTAATTACAGTAACGGATATACTAGTACTTATACTGACTTCATTGTCACAATTCACCAGCCTCCAGGATCATGAGACACACGCAACTTTACAGATAATGGTACTATTAAAAAACGAGTTACATGCATATTACTATTAAAATATATCTATATCAATAATTTTATTTAAATATATGATCAAATTAAAACATAATGCAATTTAATTATTCCTACCAAATAAAATATATATGTGTATGTACCTTACAATTACCATACCCATATATAAGTATACACAATTAATCAAATACATGAAATTAGAGTATAAAAACTATTGAGATAAAAAATTTAAAAAATATATAAGATATAAAATCCATCAACCTAATGAACCATATGTGGCCCTAATAGCCACCTCATACCACCTAGTACCCCATTCTCTATCCTATATTTGTTTATATCCCTATACGTATATCACTACAGCATCCACTACTAACTATTCCTTTAATTCACAATGGGCGCTATGTCCCATTATATAACACTACTATAGAACTACATAATTGTAAATATGTGCTGTCTCTATCTCACAAGGATGACTACTCTCCATACAGCTCCTTATAACACAACTATGTATTTCTATAGTCCCTATAGGGGCCAATATCAGATATATTAGAATACTCTTTACACATTACTAATAAAACACGTGAGGTCAAACTCCTTGTTCAAACCATGCGGGGCCATACATTTCATTTCATAAATCCATTTGGATTCTTTTTTACTTATCTCCCTTACCAGATTATCACCTCTCCAATGTCTATTATGCTTCTCTAATCCCCAGAATTGTAATTTGGATGCGTCTTGATTATGGCATTGTCGGAAGTGGTCTGAGACATAGTGGTATTTATACCCTCTGTTAATGTTGTATACATGCTCCTTAATGCGTTCTTTTAGTGCTCTTTTTGTTCTGCCAATGTATAAAAGGTTGCATGGACACTTCAGCGCATACACCACTCCCTTCGTTTCGCAGGTCATAAACTGTTTAATTTTATATTCCTTGTTATTGTGTGTATTGGTGAATATGAATCTCCGTCTCGGGTTAGCTACGACTCTCTTGCATCCATAGCACCTCCCGCATGCATAAAACCCTTCACCTTGAAAAAAAGTGTAGTTGGAATTTTTTGGTGGTTCCAATACATTCTTTACCAGCGTGTCTCTTAAATTTGGTGCCTTTTTATATACAAATTTCGGTTTAGGGGGGATAATGTGCTTAAGGTGTTTGTCTAATTTTAATATCTCCCAGTGTTTAGAGATAATACTCTGAACCGCTTTGTACTGTTTATGGTAATCCAACACTATGGGCATATTATATTCTTCCCCATCTATCTTTGGTTTATCCATCAGTAGATTATCTCTATTCATTTGTCCCACTTCATATCTTTCTTTTTCTATTGTGACTGGGTCATATCCCTTCGCTACAAATCTATTTTTTAGCACTTCACTTTGTGCTTTGTAGTCCTCTTTTCTACAGCAATTCCTTTTCACCCTTATAAATTGGCCCTTCGGGATATTCTTAATCCACGGTTGATAGTGACAGCTCGTAGTGGGTATATATGCATTCCTATCCGTAGTCTTGAAATAATTTTGTGTATATAGTGAGTGTCCTTCTTTCTTAATTGTGATATCCAAAAAATTAATTGCATCATCATTAATAATCCAACTCAGATTAATGTTGTCTCTATAATTATTTATTTCTTTGTAGAACAGTTCTAAGTGCTCTTTAATTCCATCCCATATGAGGATGATATCATCAATAAATCTACGGTACAATCTAATTTCCTTCCTGGGATGCTGGTAAATGATCTCCTCCTCCCATTTAGCCATGTACAAATTCGCCACACTTGGGGCGAATTTGGCGCCCATCGCTACTCCCCTAATTTGTAAATAATAATCCTTCTTGTACCAAAAATAGTTATGGAGTAGGCAAAATTTTAGACTTTTGATGATAAATTTTTTATGTTTGTTAGGAATGCTCGAATATTTATTGAGAGCCCACTTAATTGCTTCTATTGCTCCTCTGTGATCAATATTTGTATATAGTGAGGATATATCAGCTGTACTCATCGTTGTATCGCCATGTGCCTGTACTTCCTGTATTAACTTAATGATATGCTTCGTATCTTTTACATAAGCTAATGTGTTCTCTACTAGGGGTTGTAGGAAGCTGTCGATATACTCTCCTAGTCTGGATGTTAAGGAATCTATGCCATTAATAATTGGCCGACCTGGTGGTTTGGTGATATCCTTGTGAATTTTGGGTACTGAATATATGACCGGCAACTTACATACAGTGGGTGTTAGATACTTTTCTTCTTTACTATTTAGTACACCTTTTTTAGTCCCATACTTTACTAGTTTAATCAGCTCTTTTTTATATTCTTTCGTGGGGTTTCTAATCAATTTCTGGTAAGTATTGGTATCCCCCATCATATCTTCCATAGTGTCTTCATATTGCTCTTTCGACATAACCACTATGCCTCCCCCCTTATCCGCTGGCCTGATCACTACATCTGTCCTTTTCTTCAGACTCTTTATACCTTTCTGTAATTGTGTATCTTCTTTATACTTTTTGATATTCAATTTTTCTAAATCATTACTCACTAAATTCTTAAAAACATTAATGTATTTACCATCTATGTTTGTAGGGTTAAAAGTGGATTTATTCTTCAGACTGGTATGATATTCATATGTGGATTTATTGGAGTCAATCACATTAGTTGGGTGCTGTGCAAAATATTTCTTGAGGTTAAGATTTCTAATTAGTTTTTGTAAATTAACGTAAGTATCAAATTTATTCATGCCTTTAGTGGGTGCAAACTTAAGTCCTTTATCTAACGCATAAACCTCTTCTTTTTTGAGAGGGATTCCACTAATATTGAAGATCCCCTCCCCTTTTAATCTCTCCTTCTTTTTTTGTTGTTGCCTTCTTCCTCCTCTGCACCCCCTCTTTTTGGTTTTCCCTTTGTTTCCCCTCTTTCTGTTTGTGGATACTGGTTCCATCCTAAAAAAGGGTCATATATTGGTGTTTCTGGCGTTTGTGATGCTAATGGTGAAAATCTATTATATTGCGGTACCTCATATCTATCATCCATAGGTTTGTTATAGTATTGGGGTCTTTGGGGCCTAGGTGGATATTGTGTATAAAAATTAGGCTGTGGGTAGTAATTCTGTGGTCCTCTTGGTGGATAACCACCTTGGTTTTTATTATAATATGGCCTACCTCCCCAATACGGTTGTTGGGGTGGGCCTCTATAGTTAGGTTTCCAATTTTGTTTATTATTGGGCTTCCTGTACCCTTGTGTGCTTTGGTCTGGGCGCTGTTGTGTAGGTGCATACTGTTCTCCTTTATTCCTAGTATTAGGGGGTGTTTTAAACTCCAATGTTTTTTTGTTGTTGTTAGGCGATGTTTCCCCCATTTTGAGATCTCTGATGTGTGTAAAGACTAGACATGTCTGCAAAACATTTCCTGCACTCAAGACAGGAATATGGCTTTTCCCCCGTGTGAGACCTTTGATGTCTGTAAAAATGTGACTTTTCTGAAAAACATTTCCCACACTCTCAGGACAGAAATATGGCTTCTCTCCCGTGTGAGATCTCTGATGTCTGTAAAGACTGGACTTCACAGAAAAACATTTCCTGCACTCAGTACAGGAAATATGGTTGGTTTCTCCCCTGTGTGAGATCTTTTATGCACATTAAGACCAGATTTACAATGGAAACCCTTCCGCACTCAGGACCAGGAGAACCTCTTCCCTATTGGAAGGCCGGCCCGGTCCCGCACAGTCTGAGGTTCCTCAGGATACGAGGAATCCGATGGTCCATCTACACTGGGTGGTGCCGGATGGACATTGGAGGGAGCCGGGTTTTCTCCTGGACTATACTGTGTGATGTCCTCATCTTCTACTTTCCAGTCTGGAGACAAAGTGA